AGATCAGATGCGAGGAGAGGCGAGTAGGAGAGAAGGGAGAGAGATGGGGGGGAAGGAAAAGAGAGAGGGACGAAGGAGGAACGGGGGAGAGGGGAGGACAGAAGGTGAGCTAAGAGGAGGGGGGGAACCAGGGAAGAAACGAATGAGGCAGACGGCGGAGAAGAGAGAGAGAGGGCAGAGGGACGAAGGGGAGAGAAGAGAAAGAGGAGAGTGAAAAATTAACCAAGAAGAGAGGGGTGGAGGGGGAGGAGGAGGATGCCCCCAAGGGAAAGCTCACGGAGCAGCCTGGCGATTACCCCTTTGCGCGGCAGCAGGATTGCGATCTACGTTTGTTTGATTTTGAGGCTTTCGGAGGCTTTGGAAAGGAGGTTCGCAGCACCCTGAGGGAGGCGGCGAACCAGCTGAGCAATAAACTTTCGCACGCTCAGCACCTGGACGAGGTCACATGGACCACCAAGAACTGGCACGGGCTGCAGATGCAGCGCTTGTCTGTCGTCCTCCACACCGCCGTGGCGTGGCAGACGGTGAACGAGCTAGCGTGCGGGGAGAGCGGCATTGTGCATGGTGCGGAGTGCATTGCCGTTCTTAACGGAGTCGCTTAGGCGGCTCCGGTGGTGAGCCTGTGTGTGTGCCAGTCCGCGCCAGTCTGTGCCCTTGTCGTGCCAGTGTGCTGTGAGAGAGGCTTGTATCTTAAGAATTCTTTCTGTGCACTTGCCGAGTCCGCGCAGCGAGCTTTTTACCTTCTCTGTCGGCGGCCTTGTCGAGCCAGTGTGCTGTGAGAGAGACTTGTGCACACTCGAGCAATGTCATCCTCGGACGCGGAAGTGGCTTGCTGCGCCAGCCAAGACGACGCGCCACTTCTCCGCCGCGTCGTCGCGCCGTCCCGCTCGCAGTGGGAGTGGATCACCTCGATCTGCTGCGCACTGTCCTACGCGTGCACCTACTATTGGCGCTACCCCGCGTTTGTGCTTCCTCCCGATGTGCTCGATGTGCCGGTGCGTGGCGGGTTTACCCTGCGGTCCTGCATATCCTTTGCCTTCATCGGCGGATTTGCGGCCGCAAAGCTGCCTGCGGCACACTTTGCATCGTCGCGGCTCTTCTTCCGCCACCGCCGCACGCTTCTCCTCTCCCTGATCACCTCGTCGATGCTCATCGAGGGCGCGGGCCTCGCGGCGCCGCATCCCGCCGCGAAGGTTGCCTCTGCCTTCCTCTCTTCTTTTCTCTGGGGTGAGTCTGCAGCACACATAGAGCTCTGCCAGCGCACGCCTCAGCGCAAGACTAGCACATTAACCTGCCCTCGGCGACACACTCTGCCCGCAGGGTGCATGCTCACCTACCTCGAGGGCCGCGTCACCACCGAGCGGCGGGCAGCCTCACCGTCGGGCGGATACCGTGAGGCGAGCTTTGGATCGTGGTGGCTCATCAATTAGGCACGTCGCCCTCGCCACGCTCTGCCTCATCTACGCCGGCAACGCGAGCCGCGGCGCGCTAGTAAGCAGCAGCAGCAGCAGCAGCAGCAGCAGCAGCAGCAGCAGCAGCAGCAGCAGCAGCAGCAGCAGCAGCAGCAGTGGCAGCAGCAGCAGTGGCAGCAGCAGGAGGAGGAGGACGAGGAGGAGGACGAGGAGGAGGACGAGCAAGAGGTCGAGGTGGAGGTGGAGACGCAGCAGCAGCAGCAGCAGCAGCCGCAGCAGCAGCAGCAGCAGCAGCAGCAGCAGCAGCAGCAGCAGCAGCAGCAGCAGCAGCAGCAGCAGCAGCAGCAGCAGCAGCAGCAGTGGCAGCAGCAGCAGCAGCGGCAGCAGCAGCGGCAGCAGCAGTGGCAGCAGCAGCAGTGGCAGCAGCAGTGGCAGCAGCAGTGGCAGCAGTGGCAGCAGTGGCAGCAGCAGTGTGCGTGCTCTCTCTCGCCTTATCACACGCCCACGCCACCGACATGTGCATGCACATGTGCATGCACATGTGCATGTGCATGTGCATGTGCATGTTGTCATGTGCATGTGCATGTGCATGTGCATGTGCATGTGCATGTGCATGTCATGTGCATGTCCTCGTCGCACCCAGCTGACCCACTGCTCCCACCCAACCCCTCCCACCCCAGGCGCCGGCAGCGCCTTCCTCTCTGCGGGCGTGTCGCCGGCTGCGATGCCGCTCGCCGTCGGCGCGTGCGCGTGGACTCCGAGCGCCGCGCTCCTGCTGCTGCTCGACCGAGCGCCGCGACCGAGCGCCGCCGACGTCGCCGCCCGCACCGCTCGAAGGCCTATGGGCGGCGAGGCGAGGCGCGCGCGTCTCCCCCGCTCCTCCCCGCTATAGACAGACTGGAGAGCGTGAAGACACCAGGGTGACCAGCGACTGGACCCAGGGGTACGGGGTGGCACGCTAAGCGAGACGGAGAGACGACCACACTGGGGTATGGGGCGGCACACGGACACACGGACACACAAACAAGACGATAGACACACAGACAAGACACATCCCCGCGCCGGGCGTGTTTCGGCGTGGCCTGCGACAGATCGACCGACATCGACCGACATCGACCGAGATGAGCGTGGCTCGCGACAGGCGCGCCTTTCTCCGGCGGTGGGCATGCGGCCTCGCGCCGCTCTGCGTTGCCTACGCCCTCCTCACTGGGGTGCGTTCGCTGCGCGACCTCTTCGCCGACCAGGTCCTCGCCTCGCACCCTCGCGACCGCCACAACCAACCCTTTCGACACCACCCCCAGCCTACCCTCCCCACCACCGCCTCCACCGATCCGGACGCCGCCTCCACCGGCGCCAGGGTGTCAACAGCGCCTCTTCACATGCCTCGTGCTGTGAACAGCTCTTCGCCGCCTCGCTCGGCGCCCCCGGCGGCGCGGCGCCCGGCTGGATCCTCTGGACCGCAGACCTGCCGGGCGCCCTCGTCTCCGCCGCGACTCTCGTCGCCTTTGGTCGTATCCGCGACTCTCACCGCGCGATGCAGGCGGTGCCGGTGCGCATCATCGCGGGCCGAAGGGCGTCTCTCCCACACCTTGCCGCCGCGAGCGTACAGGCGATGCTGTCTGTCATGATCGCAGCGACCTGCCTCGCCCTCGTCGCGACGGGCGCGTGGCAGCTGGGTCTGCTCGGAGGCGGCTCGTGGCAGCTGCTGCTGGGCACGGGCGTCTTCCTGTGCTCCGGACGACGGGGCGCCCCCTCTGCTGTGACTCGCGATTGGTCGACGCGCGGCGGGAGGCTGTCGTAGGTGCTACGCGACCATGGGGACGCCATTCTACGAGCGGTTGCTCGCCGCGACGCGCACCGAGGGCGCCGACATCCGCGCTCTTCATGTCTGCCCGTGGGCGCGGCCTGATCGGAATGCGCGTGGCATCTAGGCACAATCGCCCTCCTCGTTTTCCTCTCCGATTTCGGCGGCTATTTGGTGTCGCTCGCCCTGCTGCTGGCCAAGTCCCTCTCGGGCGTCGGCGGCGGCGCGGCGAGTGCGGCGGATCGCGCGCGTGAGGCGGAGGCGGCGCTTTCCCTCTTCATTCGCGTCCTTTGGGGCGCGGGCGGCGCGATGCTCGTGCTGCTGGTTGTCGCGAAGGTTGCCTTCGGCGTTTCGCTCAACTGGCGGGCGGACAGAGGACCGTGGCGTGAAGGCGATGAGGGGTCGTGTCACCGTGGAGTGGAGCGCCACGCCGCGTAAAAAATAGGTTATTACGAATATTACCAGGTTATTTACCACAGAAAACCGAGTGGCGAGTCTCGAGAACGAGGAGGCTACGTGCGTCACGCGTCAGAGACGTCTGGGCACCCGCCAGCGGACGGCTCTCTCGCGGTGCACGGGCGACATTACAGACTAAACAGATGAAATGCTGTCATTTGCTGCACGCGGTGAGGGCGATGGCAGCCAGGTAAAGCACAAACATGGATGCCACCAGCGCGGCGGTGCGGTAGCTGGCCCCGGCGAACTCGCGATAGTATACCAGCCCCCACAGACTGGCGACCATCGGCGCAGCCTGGCCGATTGCATACGAGAGCGCGAGACCGAGCTTGCTGCCGCTCAACAGGTTGGAGACAGTTCCGACTGCCCAGATAGCACCGCCCAACCAGCCCAGCGCGTGGTCGCGGGGGGAGAGCTTGGCGTAGGTGGCAAAGGTGGTGGGGCTACCGACGAGCGGCCACCGCATGAGACAGGCGCAAATTGCGGGCGACGTCAATAAGACTGCACTTGTGAAGAGGAAGGACGACCCGAGCGGCGCGAGGCATCCATCGCACGTGCCGTCGGGCGCGGTGCGCATGGCGAATGCGTTGAGCGGGCTCCAACAAGCCATCAGCACGCCGCTCACCGCGCAAATGATGGTCGCGCCCGCGTTGCCGCCCAACCCGCCGCCGTTAACGCCGCCGCGTTCGGCTCGCCGCAAATGGCCGTCGCTGTGGGGCACTTCGCAAGAGTGCTCGAGCTCTGTCACGCCGTCCCTCTTCTGCCGCGAACCTCGGTGCTCACGATCGGCGAGAACCTGCACGACGATGGCGCAGAAGGCGGCGGCGACACCGCAAAAGAGCAGCGCGGGATAGCTAGTCGAGGCGGGGTCGATCCAAAACGTGAGGAGTGTGCCAAGCACAAGGGCAGTGCCGATGCCCACGGGGAAGGCTACGATTAGCCCTGCCAGGCTGACGCCGGAGACGAGCAGGACGTTTGCGAGGTTGAAGACTGCGCCGGCACCAAGCGCGGCCAGAACGTGCAAACCGCCGGCAGCAGCACCATCCTCAAAGAGGAAGACACGGCCGTCTCCAATTGTGATGAACACAACGGCAGCCGTCACGAAGACGCCGAGCGTGAAGTCGCAGTAGTAGAGTGCGAACGGTAGGTGGGTGGCTGCCTTGGCTGTGTTGGACCAGGTTCCCCAGCAGGCGAGGGACAGGAGGGCGAGCGCAAGCGCGCCGGCAGAGGAGGGCATCGCAGGCCACAACTTGCGGCGGCGGGCGCAATTCTGGCGCGGCACTCCCACGACTCACGGGGTCCCCTTGCCTCAGGGGGGCGAGGGAACCCGAGATGCTGGGGCGAGGCGCGAGCCTTGGCGAGCAGCGTTCAGCTGTTCCCACAGCAGGCTGGAAGTACCTCGCCAGGCGCAATTTCTGGGGTTTTCAGTTTTTTGCAGGTGCGGTTCTGTGACTGTGTCACTGTGACTGTGTGTGAGTGTGTTCACGATCCCTGAGGCTGAGCAGTGTCCCAGTGAGCTGACTGAGCCTCTCATTGCGCTTCAACAGAGTTTGCTTTCTTTGAAACAGATGCCGTTTCACGTTCTCCTTTCTCTAACTAGTAACTAAGAGCCCCCGTCTATCCCTGCTCTAGAGGGAATTTTCGGTGTATCGCGAATGATCGCCTAATATCGCCTAATATCGCGCAATATCGCGCAATATCGCGCAATATCGCGCAATATCGCGCAATATTGCTGCATGCGCAGCCCCGCGCAGGGCTCGTCTGTGCGACTGTGCCCAGACCAAGTCGATTTGTACCAAAGTTGGTAGACAGTGCCAAAACCACGGAATCGAAAATGGCGCTTAAATTCGCGCACCTGATGTCCCCACTGCCGCATGGTGCGAACCACCACTCATGAGAAGGTCTCCGCTGCGCTGCTTTTGCTGTTTGCGTCAATGAGCCGGGCCGCCGTGCCCTCGCGGATGGTGCGATTGGCGCGCTCGACGACGCCATTCTGGCGGTGCTCGTCAGCGCCCGACGTGGTGACGCAGCCGGTGAGGCCATGCTTGGCAAGCACCTCCCGCATGCCCGGCGAGTTCTCCCCAAACTCGCCGGCGCCGTCCTTGTGGAGGCGGCGGACCACCACACCGTGGCTCCGCGCATAGTTGAGGTACATGTCGAGCGCGAGATACGCGTCGCTGCGCTGATTGACCAGGAATCCCCTGACATACCCAGAGTAGTGATCGATGATGACGAGGACCTGGCGCTGCCCGCCGTGGCGGTGCGGCGTACACGCGTCCCAAAAATCCATCGATACCAGCGCGCCGGGCCCGAATACCTCTGGGGCATGCTGGCTCGAGGGGAGGCGATGGGCCTTGCCTTGCTGGCAGGCCTCGCAGGTGTGGCCAAAGATCTTTTTCAAGGCAGCCACCCAACTGGACGGCGCGTCCTTAGTGGCCCCGTACAGACCCTGGAGTCGCCGGGGATCGCGGTGAAAGCGCAGCTCGAGAGTCTCGCCGTCCACGCTCAGCGCTCGTCCAACGCCGGCGGGCACGGTGCTCTCGGGTATCAGTGCCATGGCTGGGGAAGGCGGAGCGGGGGGCAGGACGACAATGCCATTATTGTAAACGGTGGCACGCTTGCCGTCCGCGAACGTGATGTACGACTCGTCGCCACCCCGGCCGATGCAGATGCTGATTTCGCCGTCTCGGGCCATCGAACCGCCAGAGAGGAGGTTGTGCGGGCACTCGGGCACCAGCAACCCACGTCGATGCACGTATCGCACTCCACCATCGTCGAGGTATACGGGCACACGGAAGGTTGCCTCGGCCGTCGCCCGATGCGCACCGCCTACGCCGACGATGGGTCGATCGCTCTTGACAGCCGTGCCCTCGACCAGGTACTCCTCGGAGCAGAACACATCGAGGTACGCCCCGGTGTCGAGGATGTTCAGGCGCGGCGCCGTGGCGGCGGATACGTTGAGCGCCATCGGCGCCCCCACGTCCTCTGCCAGCTCGCGCACAGTCGACTCGGGCACGAAGCGGTGCGGCATGTAGTCGACGTCCAGCTGCACCCTGCAGTACGCCTCGATGACCGGCATCGCTGTCCTGTACACGCCCGGCGTAGCTCGTGCGGCGGTCGCGACGAGGTCCTCAGCCAGCGGCGAAGCCTTAAAACCGTGTACGCCCGTGACAAGACTGGATACGGTCGTCGCCAGCGCCAGCGCCCCGACGACATGAAACGCGACGCGTGCGGTGCGCGCGGTGAGCCTAGGCGCCCTCCGCACCAGTCCAGGCAGCCGCACAATCCCACGCGCGAGACGTCGCACGAGAGAGAGAGCCCCGGCCAGGTACGCGAGGTGGAGCGCATAGGCAGCCGCCAGGAAGGCGGTGAGTATCGCAAATGGTGGCGCACCGACGGTGACGTGCGACGGCAGCGACGGCGCCCACCGCAATGGCCCCTCCAGCTGCGCCGCCTCCCGAAGCCCCCCTCGCCACAGGCCAGCGAGCGCGAGCGCGGGCTGCGCGAGGAGTGGCGCCCAGCCAACGCCGATCATCCAGAGCAAAAGGAAGAGCCCCACAAGGGCGACGCCGGAGAAGAGCAGCCACTGTGAGGCGTCGACCACCTCGACGGGCGACCCAAGGCGGCCGAGGGAGCCGCAGGCCGAAGGCGGCATGCCGGTGGCAGCGGCCTCGAGAGCGAGGCGGGCGCGAGCGAGGTGGGCCGCGAGGGGAGCGAGGCGGGTGCGGCAGAGGCGCCCACGCCACACGCCCTGCAGCGTGACAACCGCGGCGACAGAGCGCGCGGCCGCCTTGTACGCGGCGTGCCGCGAGCGCCCGATGCACCCTCGCCCGATGCGCTGCAGGACGCCGGTGGCAGCGGCCTCGAGAGCGAGGCGGAGATCCTCCCGCTCCCGAGCGAGGCGGATGCGGCAGAGGCGCCCACGCCACACGCCCTGCAGCGCCTCGACGCCACGCTCGGCGGCCTCGTACCGAGCGAGGCGGAGCACGGTGGCAGGCAGACCGAGCTCGCCGTGCCAGAAGCCGTGGGCGGCCGCCCGAACGCGCTCGAGACTTGCAACCTCGGCGGGCCAGAGCCTCCAATCCCAGCCGGCCTCGCACTCCCAGCCGGCAAGAGCCTCGCCCTGCCAGCCGGCCTCGAGCAAGAGCATGGCCGCGACCATGTCGGCGTGCGGCGAGTCGGAGAGGATCGCGCGCACGGCGGCGCAGACCTCCCCAAGAGCCTGCCGGACCCACCGGCGCAGCTCCTCGTCCCCGGGGCGGCACTCAGCGTGCGCGGAGTGGCAGTCGTCGCGCGCGGCGGTCTCGGAGTGGATCTCAGGCGGCCGAGAGGCGGCGGCCTGTGATCCGCCGTGAATGATGTAGGGCGCAGGCCACGGGCTGCTGCATGCGCCTCCGCCGCCCGACAAGGCGATGGGGGACGCGAGAACTCCTGAGCCAAGGTGGAATGGCTGCGGAGAGGCGAACCCAGCGGACCACGGCGACGCCGCGGCGCCATCGGGGAGCGTCGGCTCCTCCCGCGCCGCCGGCGACGCGACGGCGACGGCGCAAGTCGACGACCCGATGGAGATGTCGAAGGCGCCGTCCTCGCTCTCCTCTTCCTCGTCGGGCTCGTCGGGCAGCTCCAGCTCGTCGAGGTACGCGGGGTAGCGCTCGCAGATCTCCTCAAGAG